TTTAATCATTACAACAGTTTTATAAAGTATGTGGTATTATTCCAGTTTTACATATGACATAAATGAAGGTTAAGGAAGTTAAATAATAGAGCACCATGCAAGCAAGCAGTAGAGCCAGTATTCAAACCCAAGTTGGACTTATTCCAAAGACCATGCTCTTAATTACCGTGCTAACCTATGAAAGAAATTCAGTTCTGGTAGAAATTTAAAAACCAGGGACATCCAACATTGTATGCAGCATGTCCCAACAGCTGAAAAGAATATAGTCAAAGATAAACAGAATAAATGTAACAGTTGATAGTCCAAGAACAGTGACAGCACTGGGAACTCTTCCACTGACAACTGACCCCAACTTCCAGACACACTGAGTGACTGGACTCCATTCCCTATGAATAGGATTAATGAAGGAAGACTTAAAAACTGAAAATTAATCAAATGAATGAGGCAAAAACAAAAGCATGATTAGATGGATAACTTCACTACTACAACTGGAATAAAACTGATCAGGACTAATCTTACAACACACCACAAGTGAATCAGACCACAAAGTTGAAGTCCGACCGATAGCAAAAGTGATGATGCTGATAATGAAAACGTGATGCTCAAGCTCTCTTAATCTGTCCTAAATTTGGGATTCATGTTAGAGACTGATAAAGGTCTGCAGAAAGCCAAATATCTCCAGCTCTCCAACCATGAGAAAGAGGAAGGGTAAACTTACTCCAGAAAGGTTAGCCTTGCTTAACAGTTTGCTTAGAGCTCAGCATTCCTGTATCTTACTTGCTTCCAAAGAGCTTCTCTTTTCTTCTAAGACAACACCTTTTTTAAATTTCTACACATCTTGTCTTTCCCCCCTACCATCATTAGCACCAGAGTTGCGAAAGCTGGGACTGTGATCTTCAGGTATGGGTCACTGGTAAGCTGGATTCATCCGGAAAGGTACATGAACTGAATCAGTCCATCAAAAGACAGGAGAAGTAAAACTGAAAGGTTGGGAATGTATCCACAGAAAAGAGAAAAGAGGTTTCACTGAAGACAGAACTCATACGAAGATAGATGGATTTGAGAGAGATGAGCATGTCATAAGCTTTTTTTACATTAACCTGGAAGTGAACAGCTTGGATTTGAAGAGACAGCAATATATCAGTACTTGGTTATTCTGAAATCCTGTTACTATCCAGATGTCAGATCCTATTAGATCACATATGACCACCAATTTCAAGAGAGATCCAGAAACACAGTCTCTGGGCTGTCAGCACAATTTTAAATCATGTCATTTAAACACATCCTTGTTGGTCCTTACAAGCCCTTTGTTTATTGTGAGTCTTGGTCTGAATAAAGATTCTAAATCACTTCATATTTTAACAGGATTTTTAAGTCGCATTTACATTTTCTCTAAGACATCAGTGCTACACTTCAGCTCCTCTCTCCAAAACCAAGACAGATAGATTTGGGGGGCGCCTGCGTGGCTCAGTCAGTTAAGCATCCTACTTCGGCTTAGGTCATGATCTCATGATTCATGGGTTCAAGCCCCACATCAGGCTCTGTGCTGACAGCTAGCTCAGAGCCTGGAGCCTGTCTTTGGATTCTGTATCTCCCCTTCTCTCTGACCCTCCCATGCTCACGCTGTCTCTCTCTGACTCTCAAAAAAAAAAAAATTAATTAAAAAAACATTTAAAAAAGACAATAATAGATATGGGAATTTCAGATGTTGACTTTTAGATTTACAACTGTAAATTAAGTGAGTTTTACCTTTGAGGTATCCTGTTTTCTGTATTCCATTCTTCTGATCAGGCAACTGATTTCTTCCTGTTGCCTCTAACCCCCAAGTATTCTTCCTACTGCCCTACTCAATGTGTCACTGGTTGTTAACTTCTGCTGTCCTGTCCATGTAGAGTTCATTCTCCAAAAGTTCTAGTTTAAAAAAATTGGTTATTGTAATATGATCAAATATGTGACCAAATGCTAGTGATCAATGATGTTTAAGGATTATCACTGTTTGTTTATATGCATGCGTGATTATTCACTTACTTAACTACATCTATGAACATTTACTATATGCCATATACTATGCTATCAGTTTAGCATATGTTATCTCATTTTTGGGTCTTCAATGCCTTCTTTACCCTTGGTTCCAGAGCTATACCTAGTCATTCCTTAAGTCATGTGTAGCTCCTTAAAAACATTTGTAAACAACTGTCAATATGAACTACCTAGATGCTATGATGAAAAGACAAGATGTTAAAACACAAAGATATATGTAGTATATGTTTTTATAATAACCAAAAATATAAAAAATATTTGAATTGTTCTTAGTTGATGACCATGGTAAGTTATAACTTACATTCCTGGTCAGATTGTTATATTCTTTCTTTAGGACAAAGAATCGATAATAGTGGATTTTCCTGCAACCTGACAAGGCCATCAGAAAAGATAGTTTTGGTCAAGGAACACTTTACTGACTTCGAACTGTTATGTGTAGCTAGCTTTCTGCTCTGTCATTGTGGAAGGTCAGGTCTCATTAAGTATGTGCTAAGGTCAAAGCCGAATCACAGCTAATGTCTAAATATAGATCATCTTTCTAAAAACTGTGGCCTCTTTTCTGTGGCTGCAGTGTGTACAACACAGGAATCAGATTTACACACAGAAGCTGCTTTTTCTTAGAGAAAGTAGGTCCAGTGAAAAACATTGGCTTTTAAAATAAGGAAGAAAGTAGGAGTGTGCAAATTAAATAAAGATAAGTTGTTAAAGGTTAACTAGTTTCTCTTGGTGGTGTTGTAAGCAAATGGCATAGTCATTCTTTGGTTCTAAAATATTTAGATGTTTTATTTCAGTCACATAGTGGGAGCTGAGAACAAATGTGGGTAAACCAGATACAAAATACCTTCACTGAACATAAGCTAAAACCTATTTCCTTAATTCTTCAGTGTTGAATCATATGTTATGTCTGGACCATAAATGTGAAGAATGTCAAAGTAGCTCTGGTATTGCCATGGTTTGGTATACACAGATGCAAGGGAAAGCACATCCATCCTGAATATATGTTACCATCACTGCTATTGTATGAGCTTTCTATTGCTGCCTAGCAAAGTACTAGAAATTTGGGAACTGAAAATACCTATTCATTATTTCCCAGTTTCTGTTCATCAGAAGTGTGGGCACAGTATAACTAGACTCTCTGCTTGGGGGTCTCAGTATGCTGAAATCAAGGATTAGCCTGGCTGAATTCTCATCTCGAGCTCAGGATCCTCTTCCACATGGTTTCAGGCTTTGGGGTAAATTTTGTCACTTACAGTCGTAGAACTGAGGTTCATGTTTTCTTGCTTGCTGTCCATGAGATTTGCTCTCAGCTCCCAGAGGCCATCCTCAGGTTTTAGCTAATGTGGCCTTCTCATGACAAGGTAGTTTACTGCTTTAAAGCCAGCACTAGAATCTCTCTTCAGTCTGTTACTATGGGAAGGAATCTTACTGAGTGCAATGGTATCACATAGGAGACTATATATCACCATTGCTAGATAATATAGCCTAAGCAAGGGAGTACTGTTTTCCAAGGTCCTACCCACACTTAGGGGGAAGGTATTGGACAGGGCATCTGGAAACAGAATCTTGGAGGCCATCTTAAAATTGTACCTTTAACTATTAATCAGAACAAGGACTAAACTCTGAACTATACAACTGAGGAGAGAGCAAGATACTACTTATCTCCAGAGCCTAAAGTTAAATGTAAACAGATTCAATTCCAAGAATAGTGTTTTCCAGGAGAAAACAAAACAAAACAAAAATCTACAAATGTCTACTAAAATTCACAGAGGAAGTAGTTCAGTCTCAATCTCAATGTACCCTTTGAATGATGCCTAGTAGAAATGCAAATTCCTGTACAGACCAATAATAAGGGCTGCAAAGATTTTTAAATGACTATCTAAAAGATACCTGCACCTCAGTGTCAGTAATCCCAAACCCTAACTTCCTATAAAACCACCCCTTTTACCACTACTCTCTCTCTTTGTTATTATATCCAATAGCTGGCCACAAGCCAATGTGGCAACATTGCATTCTCTAGAGATAAAGTAAAAAGACAACATTCAAATTGTAACACTGACATTTTCTGGAACAGGAATAAAATACCAGATGGCCCAGTTTTGATTCTGGAGTATATACCCTGTGTGATCACCTCCCCTGGAATGTGAGCTGACCTCCAAATATGATGAGATGGTCTCTCCTTTGATGAGGTTGCGTTATCTGACAAAGTGATGGGACAGTCGTTCTCGTGATTACATCGTGTTATATAAGCTTTAATCTGAGCAGAGTGAGGAAATTCTTTTGCTAGTGTAGAAGAAGAAAGCTGCAATGTTGTAAGAGGGTCACATGGATAAGCCTTTAGGTAACTTTTAAAAGCTGAAGGTAAGCTCAGGCTCACTAACACCTGGCAAAAACATGGTGGCTTCAAGCATACAGGTCCAAGATACAGATCTGAATGAGCTTGTAAGAAGACCCCGAGCCTCAGATTAGATAACGTTCCAGATGACACCTTAGTTTTAGCCTGGTGAGACAGGGGACCAAGCTAACCTCTGACTAGAAGGTAAACAATGAAAACTGTGTGATAATAAATTTGTGTTCTTTTAACTGTCAACTTTGTGGTAGTTCTTTGTACAGCATAGGAAACTAATACATAAACAAATTAATAAATAAACAAACTAGCAAAATGAGGTTTAGGAACTTCCTGCAGCAACAGCTCTCAATAACTGATTCCCAACTGAGCTTACTGCATAGCTACCCTATTTTCAGGAAATGTATTGAAAACTAAAACATACACATTATTTTGTGGTACTCCAGGGTACTACAGATGACAAATGAAAGCAAAAACTCCTTAAGGGATGAAACAATGTCAGACCAGTGGGGACTGAAGCAAAGAACCTCAACAAGATTAAAAGAAAATCTGAATACCTAATAACGGTGTATATTACGCATACTCATATATATGCACAGAAGCAAAAGGCACTTACTCGGAAGGTTGTTCAGTGAGAAGTCTTGAGGATGATAGAATCCTGCTTTGCAAATGCACTGATAGGCTCCAAGCACGAATCCTAGGCCTTTAATTGGCATACACTATGAAAAAGAAAAGACAGCAGTATAGTTGATCACAGTTTTTTTCACAGCATAAAGACTCACAGATATCCACCACTGCAAATGGTAACAGAACTATCACAGTCTCCAGAAATAAAGTATCTCTTTTTTGAACTATTATTTTAGATTTGTTTGTCAACAGTCATTTTTTTCTTAGAAGCAGCAAACTGAGTTTCCTTCCTAAATACATGCCCTTATGGTTGCAGGCACCACACAACTTTAACTCATTCAGTTGCCATAGGGAGTAATTCTAGGCACAGCTTTAGGGTTTGATGTCCCAAATATCATCTTATTGCTTTGAGAGGTATTTCCAAAGCCTATAAGAATGTCTTAAAAGGGACTCCATGCTAAATATTTTTATCAAAGCAAAGGCAAGTAGGTAGGAAAGTTGGTAGGTAGGTAGATAGGTAGAATTTGAGATGTGAAAATTGCTTCTATGAATTAAATATTCATCAAATTTTCATCCTTGGAACAAAATAACACAAATTGGTGAAATAACAAAACAAGTAAATTTTAAAGCATAAATTTAAAAGAGAAAAAAAGATAAAATAATGATACCAAGTGCTCTTACCTATAATCTATTTCATAGATAAGTGTTTTACATGCACATAAATTTAAAAATTGATCAGCTTTCCAAATATGTCACACCAATAGATATAATAGACATCTCCTAAAAACTTAATCTTGGTTTCTTTCAAAAAGATCCTAAAATCTCATAAAATTTGGCTTTATATACTTCATTTCTGCTACATGGCATACTTCATTTTGGCTACATTCAATTATATAAGCATGGAATAATTTCTAATAAAATTCAAACGGTATGTCAATAAAATAGGAGTATCTCAAGAATACAGTCAACACTAAAATTTCTTTTCCACCCTCTACTAAGATGCCAATCCTTTGACTTTTAGCCATTATAATCCATTAGAAAATATTACTATCTAATGGATTTTAAAGTTATAAAATATCCCCAATATAGAAGCCCTCAAAAGAAAACTCTAAACAATTTCAATAATAATTCCACAACCTAAGCTTCAATGATTGGTATCAAGATCAATACTACATACCATGAAAACCCCAAGAAATAGAAAAGTATTTTTATTTAAGGTAGCAAGAGTTAATACATGTTCTAAATTCATACAGATATAACAAGAAAATATTAACAAAGGACTTTCTAAGAGATCTCTTTGAATAGTTTATTTCATGACTTCTACCTCCACACCTTTTCTTTTTACCCAATACACAATTTATATCCAATTATATCTTGCAATTGAAAGCATAGTTCTTGGCCCAGAGCAAGATACAAGAGATAAGTATCAATCAAATCAACTGAGTTGGCAAGTATTTATGAAATAAGTGCTGTAGGCTTAGAAAATTCCTATAGAACTTCATTGTAACAACAGATACTATTTAAAAAGACCCAGTTACACAATAGGTCAGATCATATTTCTGAACAAAATTAAAAAAAAAAAAACAATTATAACATTTACTTTGGAGAAGCCTGAGCCTTAGCTTTTTAATTTGTAAGAACAATCATTCAGTCAAATTTATGTACAGTTTGAAGAAGGCAGAAACACCAAAATGTCCTAATAAATTAAATATGGGGTATAAAAGGAAGAAAAGAATAAAGGACTTTATTCTAGTTTTCTGGCCTGAGCAACCTTAAGATGGGAGCTACCACCATTGAGTGAGGAAAGGCTCTTGGTAGAGTAGATTTGGAAGAAAGAGCAGAAGTTCAGTTGTGCAAATGTTAAGTGTGAAGTGCCTATGTGAAATTTAATTGCAGACCGAAAATAGGCAGGCTGATAAAGTAGTATGGAGCTTAGGAGAGATGTCTGGGCTGTATAATTTGGGATTTATTTGCACAAAGATGAGAGATAAGGCTATAATATCAGATAAGACTAGATCACAGAGTGCCTTTCGGCTGTAAAGTACAGAGGTCCAAGTGGAAAGACTCAGGATGCCTCAGAACTAAAAGGTTAGGCAAAAAGGAAGAAACAAAGGAAACTCATAAGAGTAATTCAAGGGGTATCATTATCTCATTAACTAGATTGTGATTCTATGAGCATAAAGTGAAATTTCTTGTGAGTTGCATTTAGCAAACATTCATCCAGCCTGGACTTATCCAAGTAAACTGAGTCTTAGGTACTAACTGCCTCACTGGAGTTTGGAGTTTGGAGGTTAATGCTATTCCTTAAAATAACACTAAATTCCCTGACAATGTGACAGCACTGCAAATTTTCAGTTGAAAATTTTTAAAATGTTTAAGGCAGATCTGAAAGTTTATTCCAATAAGAATATCTCTTTACTATAAGCTAACTCTAAAGTTGAAATACAAATAAAGGTTAAAAAAAAAACTAACTGGTCAGATAAATATGACCAAATACGAAGTCACTTGAACATTAAAATAAAGTTTCCCAATTTTACTATGGAAAACCCAGCAACATAAATTATTAGTTACCTCAAATTCTTTGGTTCTTTTCTTACATTACATTATATTTTCAAAGAAAAGAAAAAAGCATTCAGTCGGTTAACATCAATAAAAGAATATCATCCCGCTGTACTTATTTCAAGATTGTGGGAACTCATGGAACCCAATGTGCTGTTGCTTATATACATTTGTCGTAGAGGATAAAGTTGACCCTGGCTTAGTTTTCTATGATTATAAACTTGCAATCAACTTGCCATGGTTTTTTGCTCCATCCACCATCACCATTCTGTAGCTACTCTAACTTCGCCATCTCCCAATCAAACTTACACATTTTCAAGATTAGGCAACCAGGTTAGTATTCAAACTAGTTTTTAAAATTCTACATTAAGTACGGTGACTCCTCATCTAATGTTGACCATATTTGGACTGAGGAGTTGCTTTCTACAATTTTTCTCCTTAGGGATTTAGAATTTAAAAAACAACCCTGAACTTAATATAGGAAAAAAATCTTCAGAATTTTACTCTAATTTAATATTCATTTAAAATAGTCATTTTAGGTATACAAGACATTCATTCTAGGTATTCAGGTCTAAACCTTCTACTTTATCTTCATAGAAGTCCAAGAGGTGGAAATGGAAAAAGCAATACTTCTCCCTCCCTGAAGGTAGCAGTTCCATGATAGCCTGTGATAAATGCTAAGTTTCTTATATTAAGACCAACAGCGGGGCACCTGGGTGGCTTAGTTGGTTAAGCGTCTGACTTTCGCTTAGGTCATGATCTCGCGGTTCGTGGGTTCGAGCCCCGCATCGGGCTCTGTGCTGACTGCCAGCTCGGAGCCTGGAGCCTGTTTCAGAGTCTGTCATTCCCTCTCTCTCTGACCCTCCCCTGCTCACGCTGTCTCTCTCTCTCCTAGAAATAAATAAGACATTAAAAAAAAAAAAAAAAAAGACCAACAGTATCTTTGTGAATGAGGTAGCTACTCATAAGATTGGATGCCCTCTTTGATGAACCCAAAATGCTCATACTTGCCAAGCCATCAGCAGAGATATAAGAATAGTCACGACAACACATAATCAGAGTCACATTCCTACGACTAATTCAGATCCAAATGGAAAGAGACGGTGGTCAAGAGCTTAGAGCAAAATAGATTCCCAGAAATATATAGCCTATCAAATGTGAGTCATGAAGAAATAAAAATTCTGAAGAGATTTATAACTAGTAAGGAGACTATATCAGTAATCAAAAACCTCCCACTGGAGAAAAAGTCCAGGACCAGAAGGCCTCACTGGAGAATTATACCAAACATTTAAAGAAAAATTAACACTAAACTTTCCCTCAAACTCTTCTAAAATAATTCCTAATTATTTTAGGAATAAAATAATTTATCTTACCAAATATAAATTTGGTACCCTGATACCAAAATCAGGCAAAGATACTATAGGAAAAGAAAACTGCAGACTAATATTCCTGATTAATATTGATGTGAAAATCTTCAACAAAATAATTACAAACCAAATCCAGCACGTTAAAAGAACTATACACCATAACCAAGTGGGACATATTCTTGGAATACAATCATAATTCAACTTATAAATCATTCAATGTAATACACCACTGTAAGACACCACACTGACAAAATGAAGGACAAAAACTACATGATCATTTCCATTCATTTAGAAACAGCATTTGACAAAATTCAACACACTTTCATGATAAAAACACTCATCAAACTAGGAATAGAAAGAAACTATCTCAACGTAATAAAGGCCATATATGAAAAGCCTATGGTTAACATCATACCCAATGGTAAAAGCCTGAAAGTTTTTCCTTTAAGATCAGAAACAAGACAAGGCCACTGTCACTTGTTCTTTTTTTATTTTTTGGTAATATTTATTTATTTATTTATTTATTTATTTATTTATTTATTTTGAGAGATAGACAGAGGTGGGGAGTACAAGTAGGGGAGGGGCAGAAAGAGAGGATGAGAGAGAGAATCCCAAGCAGGCTCCATGCTGCCAGTGTGGAGCCTGATGCAGGGCTCAATCTCACAAACATGAGATCATGACCTGAGCTGAAATCAAGAGTTGGACCTTTAACCAACTGAGTCACCCAGGCACCCCAGGTCACTGTCACTTCTTATTCAGCATTACTGGAAGTCGTAGGCAGAATAATTGGGGGAAAAAATAAAAGACATACAAAAAAGAAAAGAAGTACAATTATCTGTTTGCAGAAGACATGATTGTATGTGTAGAAAACCTTAAAGACTCTGCCAATTAAAAAAAGAAAGAAACAAAAACCCTATTAGAATTAATAAACATATTAAGCTTAGTTCTAAGATACAAAATTAACCTATAAAAGTTGATTGAGTTTCTATACACAAAACAATCACAGTCCAGAAAGGGCATTAAAAAAACAAACCCACTTATAATAGCTTGAAAAAGAATAGCATACTTAGGAATAAACTTAACCAAACTGAAAACTACAAAAAGTTGCTGAAAAAAATTAAAGATACAGACACATGAACTGACAGCCATGTTCATGGATTGGAAGA